GCTTCTTTTCCCGTGCTCTGTGTTTTGAAATGCCTCACCTGCCTCGCTTCAGGCGTGGTCATTTATAGGGACCTTGCATGTTTGACCATGTCAAACAAACACACGTGACTCAAAAGTACTGCTAATTTTCATTGTGTGTGTGTGTGTGTGTGTGGATGTAGGTAAGAAAAATTTTCTTCGTCATGTTAAATATCTCATTTAGTGTCACTTCAAAATATTAATATGATGTTGGACAAGTTTTGTATCTTTGCATCTGTGCAACTAGATTAGGCAAAAAGCAGTTTTGCAATATCATAAACCTTTGTTTTGTTTGCGTATTGCGTAATTTGCAGTTAGTCGGTTCCCACACATGCTATTTGTCCAGTATCTTGTCAACGACTCCCACTCGTGGTTTATGTTGCTACGTAAAATTGGGCAACCGATGAAAAATTATAACTGTCAACAAGCTAATTTTATTTATTTTTCTTTTTGATAGAGCTACCTGTCCACCTACTTGCATTGAAAAAGAAAGGTGATAAAACCCCATACGCAATCTCCCCCTTCACACTACCAACCTCAGGGTGACCATATAGGTTCAGCTACCTCCTTATATCACAAGGGCCTCTAAAATAGTAGGCCTATACAAAATTTTAAACAATGATTTTGTAACAGACTACAAGCGGACCCTGTGGTCAGTGTAAAGTCCATCAAAGTTAACATACAAAAATGAGAAAATGGATCAAAAAGAGAAAGAAAATCCCCCGTTTCAGGCCTTTATCCCCACGATTAAGGCTACTGTATGTTCAGCAGAGTAACCAATATTATTTGGCAGAAACGTACGCCTACCTTGTTCTTCCATCTCGTGGAAGATAGGCTTCACCTTGTTCTGGTAAGGCTCCATGGTGTATCCGAGAGTTTCAGTTGTGAGTGATATGTGCCTGTACGCAAGCTTTATAATTGCGTTCCAAATTTAGACGGTATTAAACTGCCTGTCGATCTGATTTGTTAATTCTTAGCGATTGCGAAATCAGTCGTGTTTAAAGGCGTCTATTTCTGAATCTGATTCAATAATTGCAGCTAAGTTTTCATATGTTGTACCTGACGTGCATAATGTACGTTTGATTATTTTTATATGTACTTTTGTTTGGCTTGCATAGACTTCGTACGAAGGTGTTGTTGGTTCAAATACTTCGTTAATACAAAACACAATAAACCAAATAATAGTTGACTAACTTTCTTTTGAATGAACTCATGAAACCCACTTCTTTTCCTTTCTTATTTTTTAATGTAGAAATCACTGGGTTGTTATTATTACTATTATTCTTGATGTGGTTTTATTATTATTATTATTATTATTATTATTATTATTATTATTATTATTATTATTATTATATTTGAACTTCTTGTTTTCTGTCTAATTCTTGCTCTCTTCTTCGTGAAGAGCATCAAGTCATCAACATAAGCACAGGAAATCGTTAAAATTTTTAATGAATAAGGTGAATATCGGCGCTTAATACTCCATGCTTTCAATTATTTTCCATTTATTTACCAATGTCAGTTGTGCCTTAATCTTTCAGTCATTGCTACGTTGCAATATTTCTTGAAATTTCATTTCTTTTCTCAAAATCACCAAAATTAAATACTTAAAATCCAGTGTGGTTTGCAAAACTAATTAAATAGTGTTCTTAGTTTCTAATATTTGAATCGCTATTTTAATGAGACTGGGGCATCTGTATTTCACTTCAAAACAAAACGACAAAAATTGAAAATCAAGAGCTCGAAAAAGGGTTAATACATTGTGTTTTCAGTGGCATTGGATAAGATGTATCTTGCAAAGGTAAATTGTTGTAAGGAACAAGGCAAATAATGATGTATGAAATCTGAATGAAACAAAAAGTCAAACGAGTCAGATGTTCGTTTATATAAAAAATGACACTGAAATAAAAGATACACAGCAAAACTGGCAAAAAGACAGGCACGTACATTTAGTTATTAGTAGGCGAAGCGGGGAGATAGCTTTGTATATTATACAGACTATGTATAAAAAATTAATCGTGCGTGCGTTAGTTTTTCATATTACAAGATTTACAGCAATTTTTTACTCTGACCGTGAAGGAAAACGTGCCAGTAATAATTTGTTTGCTCATTGAAGCGATCAATTGTCGTTTAATTGATAGTTTTCTAGATTCTGTTATGCATTCGTGGGTATATACAGCTAGTAGACACATCAAATATCGTCAAATTTTGTCCTGATCTTGGAAAATGTGATTGGGTTGTGGAGCGTATATATGGGATGTTTGAAATGTAAACTATGTAAGCGGAGTGACGTTTATAACAAAATGTTAGAAGCCTGGACCTTAACTGTAGCACACTATAAAACAATGGTTCCTATCGTTTTGTTTTGTTCCTATCGTGTTTTAACGACGGTAATGAATTGTCTACCGCATAAATACATTTCCGTATTTCCTCTTTAGTAGTTTTCGCTCTTCCTTTTAGCACGCTCTTAAAAAGAGTGGCGCCTTCTTTGAACACTCGAGACTAAATGATTAATATCTCCTTGTTGGACATGTTTCCACTTTTTATGCCAAACAATGTCCATCAACTTTTGGTGTTTGAAGACGTACAGGTGACTGTGGAACGCCAGGCCGATGGCAAAAAGCGCCCCGCACAAACTTTCCCACTCCTCGTCTCCAGGGTTATGAATGGTCGCTGCGCCCACCAAGTGCAGGAGAACCATCGGTAGCGCAGTGAACATGTAACACAGAGTCAGCATAATGGAGTTCTTTACTGCCGTTTTAAGGTATTTGATTGACTTCATGGCAATCGCGTTTTGGATTTCTGTATGATTCAATTTTCTGGGGAACGCTGGGAGATGCACTGAATAGATTGATGAAGCGAGATCGCTTGCACTCCACAGGGCTGGAACGCTGACTGCCTGCTTAATAGACTCATCGCGCACAGCTGCAGCAGGTGTGCTTGATTGGGAAAAACTGGACAATTCATACTGCGAATGTTTTCCAATCTTGTGAAGAAATCTTGGAAGTTGTATAATGGCTCTGAATCGCCTACCTGGTGCCGTTTGATCTGAGCTCTTAATATCACCACCAATCTTCGCCCACGTGGTCTTCTGAAGTCTGGACGGATCGCTTCCTTTTGGCGTTGTTTCCGTTTCGTCAGCGATGCTGTAACATACGGGACTCGCCATGGCAGAGGATGTGATTGTATCGCGCTTATAAGATAGCTCATATCTTTCTGGATGAACAACGTGAAAAATATCCAAAAGACCCACGTCATGGCTTTCAACCTGGTGCAAATTTCTCTTCAAAACCACGCAGATGCGGATGTACACCGTGCTTACAATAAAGAAGGTTGTAATGAAGATTCCTAAATAGAAATGTTGCAGGAACCCCCGACCTGTAGTTATCAATATCACGACGTAAAATAAAGGACTTCCCACCCACGCGAGAAGGCCGGAGACCAAGCTGCAGTGTGTTTGTGGGTTTTTTCTAGCTTGTGTCGCCGAATAGTGCATGAGACGTCCTCTAAATATAGCTATCGCACAAATAGTGATGGACAAGTTAGTGAATCCTACAAAGAAGGCTGCGTCTTCTATGTGCTCCCATGTGCCCAACATGTGAATATCCATTTTGAATTTCCTGCTGAAAATTTCGACTAAAACTACAGTAGACAATGCAAGAGAACCAAGGCATGTTAGTGCTAGCATGTTGACGTAGATTCCATAACCTTCGATCAAAATCGGTCTCAGTGTCAAGACCATTTTGCAAAAGTGATAAAAGTTTTTGGGAAACACGTACAATATTGACACCCCAACTAGGACACAGGTCATCGTGTCAACGCCCTCTAAGGTGGTGTCCGTCTTTTGAGCTTCGTGGTTACTCGCACGAGTAAACATTATACGTGTATTTTGGCTCTTCCGGGCGGTGTTAAGAACTGTTGCTGAAAATAAAATTTAAAAATATTCGATTTCTGGTTTTGACTTTTTTTCTGAAAAAGTAAACGAATACCAGAGGCTGATAGAAGAATATAGATGCGTTATNAGTAAACATTATACGTGTATTTTGGCTCTTCCGGGCGGTGTTAAGAACTGTTGCTGAAAATAAAATTTAAAAATATTCGATTTCTGGTTTTGACTTTTTTTCTGAAAAAGTAAACGAATACCAGAGGCTGATAGAAGAATATAGATGCGTTATCATAAAATTAATAGAGGAAGCATCGACTACTTACCGTGTCAGTTTCTCATCTCACGTCCGTTTTCGCCTTGACCCCCTATCGCTACACTGCAATAACCTGAGGAATGCATGCATCCTGGCTTTCACAGATAAACTGGGAATTCATTCTAATAATTGCAAACCTCTGCTATTTCTATTTATTGGTACTGGAAACGTACTCGGAAGCGTGCTTATGTTAGTTCCCAGAAAGCTCTAAATCTCAGCAGATTAACTGATGCGGTTTCAGGACACCCTAAACAGTGTGTTCGTGTCCAGAGAAGGGGAGGGGTTGGGGAGGGTCCGGGCAGTTAAGTTTCGTCTTATATTCGATATTTTCTTAAATTTTGTAACCTACTAGACTACAGCGACCCCTGTGGAAGGCGAATAGAGCAAATATACCAAGAGTTTCAGAGATAATTATCTCATCTCTCACTTTTATTAACGACAGATCTCTGGGAATGACAGACACCTTTTGATGAGAGGCAAGTTCGCAATGAACTTTGGAAATTGGGATGGCTAGACATCGCCTTCGACCTTAAAAATTAATAAATAAAAATAAAGCGATGAAATACGACCCCAAATTTCGTTATATTCATATGGTGCTAAATAAGAAAGAATAGAGAACCAGATAGGAGCAATAGAAAATTATGTGTAAACCGTACGAAATACTGTAGTTCATTTTGAGGAAACAAAATGTGAAGCGTTTTTCTTTTATCCGATCGGTATATCTTACGTAATCACGATTACCAGGGACCATCACAAACCAGAATAAAAACACCAAACTATGCGTGGACTAAAAATTTATTAATGTAGTTTGAAGTCGCATTTAAAAAGTAACCGTTTCAGCTACAAGTTAACGGTTAAGTCTGTATTTTTTAAAAAGTATACTTTACACTTAATCTTTCTTCCGATAACATTCTTACTTTGTCATTTCGGCAAGTTTTAAAACGTATAATTGTGGCCACGTTATAATTTACATTAAAGATCCGAAGTCAAGAAATATATCGCCTCTAAAAATTTCAATGAAAGCGAAAGAAAACGAATCATATATAGCAGCACAATTGAGCAAAACACTGCTTTAACATTCATTCTATGTATTACATCTGAAAGGCTGACGTATTATTAAATAACAGGAATATACACTTTTGTAGGGAGAGATAGGCGTCGTACTCCAATCGTCATACTATGTTTATCCTATGCCAAAAGTAAATAATAATGATAATAATATCCACAATAAAGTTTCTGGCCAGAACAAAACACGACTGACATTTATATCGTCTTCATTCAGAAGAAAACTGACATTGGCTATTAGGATTCTCAGAAACTGGAAATAAGGCTCTATTTTTGCCACTTCTTACTGGTCAATATCCCCTAGTTGGTCAGTCAGAAAATTAAAAACTGCCCAAATGTATAAAGCTTATCTTAAACCTTCCAAATCGAAATTGCGTTTTTATCATTACAATATCATGTAAAAGGTAAAGAAGTTCAGGTAACCACTGAAATGAATACCGTTACCAATATATATTCTGTGTAATATTATTATTCATTCCAGAGCCATGTTTCGTTTTATCCAAATACTAGATATATAAGGAACACTTGACAAGGTCAACAAATTTCATGAGGATATGCTTGTCAAAATAATTTAATTTAAATCATCAAATAAAAAATCTAAATCAATCAAATGATATTCAGATTTACCTCAATCAATCTCTTAAGAAACCACCTAAACTAAGTTATATTTATGTATATAGATGTATTCTACCCACTGAAACCTGTGTTACATATAATAAAACAGGTAATAAAATGTGAACCGTGCTCTGAAAGAGCGATTCATAAATAAGGATATCTTGAAATGAGGTATGATACAGTGTGTGTATGTGAAATATACAATGAAACAGAAAACAAGTTGTGAGTTGAAGAACACAATGATTCCTAAGGCAGCAGGGACAGGGACAGACCGCCGCAAGTAGCTGAAGTCTGGCCTTATGAAACGAATCTATACAAAGCAGCAATAGCAGTGTGGGCATTGAAATGTGTACCAATATGATTAAAAAAAAAACAAAAAAAACTGAAAATGAAGAGGAATAGTTAAACAAGGGGTAAGTTTTGCACAGGGAGCTTTTTTTTTTCTTTATTTCATATCCATGCTATCCTCTGATGACTCTATAACCCTGAGGTACATACCATATTTGAGTGAAGAATGTTTGCAAGATTTAATCAGCAGCTGTTAACAACCTGCACAAATTAAATCATTTTCACTCCTAAGTGCCAGGTAGCCCAACGGGTAGCACTTTTTAAACAAAGACCCATGTAAGGCATCAACTCGTTATGTTATCCAAATTTCACTCCACGAATGTCCAAACTTCCATACACATCTGAAGGATCTGTGGTCATTCTTTCAAGGAAAGTTATCATCACAGCTGTTAGATATGCTTCACAACATACACTGGTTGTACGATCTACATGAAAAGTTGAGTAAGACACGCCTCCTTGTGCAAAAACCTATGCATGAATCCCACAGAAAGATTTCCACAAAAGTCTGGGAAAGGCTGTGTGGGACTCGTCTGTGCCCAGATCTCTGCTGCTGAACTACACTGTGATCTTGACTAAACCACTCTGAGCCGGGGTGGCGGACCCTCGGTTGAGTTTCTTACTCCTGGAAGACAAAGAACAATAAATCTTATAATTTTATAATTAGGTTCTACAACATCTCAGCACTGATAATAAAAGTCCAATGTTAAGAAAAATTTAGAAAGACAAAAATCACTGACAATTTTTTCTCTTAAAGGGATAATAACTCTTCGTTTCAGCCAAAAAATAAATTTTCCTGGTGTAAACAACAATTTTCCCATACTTACCAATGGTTAATGAATCCATTTTTACATTCAAAGTTAGTCCCTGGTTTTTTTCTAAAAAGTTTGCTTTTTTGTTAAAATCTCTTAAGAGATTTTAACAGAGTATAGCCATCAATGGAGGTCACGTGGTCTAAAGACAAGCTCAGATAACAGAAAAAATAGCTATAACTGCCGTTTTTGTGGTAAAACAGAATATATTATATTTCTATGAGTTATTCACAATGTTTTCATTGAGAAATATAGATCTCATACGAAGAGTTATTATCCCTTTAATTATCTCAGCCAGGTAGTGAGAAGTTACTGAAATTATTCATCATTCATATCTTAAAGTTGGAAACTGCACATTGCGTTTAAGTAAACGCTAATGCTGTAACACACTTGTAAGTTTGATGGATAATGTGTGTAATGCACATGCTGCCTCACAAGCTTGTTGAAGATAAGGCAGCCTAACAGCAGAACATGCTATAAGTAATAATCTTATCACTGAAATTAGCCTTCCTAATTCAAAAGTCAAACAATAAATTCAGTAAAAACTCTAATGAAATCTTGTCTACCTGTAACATTCATTCAGCATTAATGTGCACAGCAAATATATGTATAGGAATAAAATTTTTTAAATGCATGTTAATACTGTAAATGAGGACAGAACCCATATCAAACTAATGGAAATAAGAGAAGTGCCAACCAAGTAAGGATCATTGCTGAAGAGTACGCTTTTCTTAGATCACAAAGAATATTTCACAGGAGCCAATTTTAAGGATAGTTATCAGAGGAGTAAAACTTTCTTTCAAACATGCTCCAAAGGGAAAAATAATATTTTGGAACTAAAAACTTGTCCCTTTCACCCTATCCCACCCCACCCCACCCAACCCAAATTCCCAATGCACATGCACAATAAAATTTTCATACCATAGGAAAATTGCAATTGAAAGAAGGCATTGCAAGAACTGAACACATGCCTTAGGATAAGATACAATAGGGTAAGATATGAAGGACATAACATTGCCACTACTCTAAAGTGGACTGTTAAAAAGGTGCAGAGAACAAATACCATGCCTGATGAAGAACACAAGAGCAGTGTAAAGAAGGCAGGTAAAGGTCTTATTTCATACGACAACAACAACAGCAACAATATACATGCTGTAGACTATTAGCAACCATCCTTGCTCTTTATAAAATCCAAATCTCCAAAATGACCATTCCCTAATTTTCCTTTTTTTTTTTTGAAAATATTTACAAGGTTTCCCTACGTTCCACCTCTCCCAAGTTTTTCAAGTATGTAACTGGCACCTTTTTGATAGCCGCGAAACCCGAAATCAAAAATAGATGCTGAAGAGGACGGCGAGGCACTGGAGACACTGAAATAAAACACAAGCACTGCTCAAAAGGAAGTGTACTTTACTTACAACCCATCAGTGCACTAGACAGAAATATACACACTTGAAAATGTGACAAAAAAAGTAAATAAATAAAAATCCATTTCATCACTCAACTCCATCTACTTTTGCTCTCTGAATCTCTAGTAAAAATGAAGTATCCCAACGTTACAAATTGCCAGTTAATTTTGAAAAAAAGATTTTGCTCTTAATTCTGCCCAATAAATTGGAGATTGACTTCTAACACAGCCAGTAAATTCCGAGAACTATTAAGTCAACTTTTATCAGCTTATATATGGTCTTAATATCCCAAGAGGAAAGCAGGAGGGCATAGAAAGGTTAAGACTGAGAATATCAAGGACAACAGTGAACAAATACTACAGTGATGGAGATTTACTATGGAAAATGAAAATAAAAAAGGCACTGATGAAAAACAAGTTTGTTGCAACAGTCATTAACATCTGTGCTAAATACTTATTAAGTAGGTCAATTACTTATTCACATAAAAAAAAAAAGAAAAGAGGTAGAGGCCTGCCATCAATTACATACAAGCATATACTAGTACAACATTTATTCATTCCTTGAAACCAAGACACAAGGTTATAGTTGTAACAAATAAATGACCTGTTTTTTCTTCCTCCACTTTGCCCAGACCTGGCACATCGTTGAATAAAACAAAATGAGGTTAATGATACAAAAAATAATGCACACTTTCCTTTTGTACTTGGTGAAAAATGAACAGTATAAGCCAAACTTTTTTCAGAAAAACTTGACAGCAAATAAACAAATTGAATAACAACCCGTACAAAAATGAGCAGATAACAAAGTAGATTTCTCTAAAACTGGTTGAACAGCTGTAAATGCTTGTGTTTGCATAATGCCAATAATGGAAAGAAATTTGTATAAAAAGATAAGGTTGGAAGAAGACAGTGAACAGATGTTGCTCACATTTGTATATAATTATAGCAAGGAGGTAACCTACAGACATCTCTTCCTAATGAAGTCAAGATATTGTTTAACAATTAAAGCCTATTAGAATATATATTAGAACTAAGTCAGTATAAAGTGAAAAGAAGTTTTGGGGCCAGTTTTACAACAGAACTTCTGGATGGAAGTTGGGCTAAACTTTAAGACAAAAATGTCAGTCATTTGTGACTAGTGCAGTCAACTTGAATGAAATACTGAGTCTGTTTTATAAAAGGAAAAATAAAAGATATGGCTTAAGTTTCGGGCCAACTTATCTTGCAAATTATCACAGATTTACCTGAATTGAAAGAAGTTCCTCTAAAGACAGACTATGGGTGTAAGGTTCTTGTGTGAGACTGGCATGATATATATATATCAAACCAGGTGAGAACAAATCTTTCAACACATGCTAGCGCCCTTACCTTGGGGTATTAACAGGGCTTGGTGCTGACCCTGCTTTTGGTGTGTTACCCTTGGTAGGCTGATCTTTCACATAATTCCTACAGGATGCCAATTTGGATTCTAAGGCCTGAAATAACACAAAAAAGAATTATTAAAAAAAAAAAATTATCATTTTACTCAATGTTTTCATATTTACATAATTGGGAATAAGCAATAATCATCACTTGGGTATAACATTATTTCTGTAAAGCTTTTTTCTTTTATATCTATAAAGATACTGCAACAATGAAGAATAATCAAGCTGCTATATTACACCATCAAGATTAATAAGATGCATATTTAGTTTAAAAAAATGTAAAACAGTAGACCAATTTATCCTGATTCTAAAAAAAAAAACCCAAAATTTTATTAATCAAGCTCAGACCAAGTTATGGTCCACAGCTCTTATATTCCACTGTCCATAGGGGTCCAGGCATCTAACATTGCCAGGGTACTCACCCCTACTTTACGTAGTAGATCTCCTACTATATTGAGTGCTGATATCCTAGCTGTGGGAGTGAGTGGAGTGGAGCTGCCATTGGCACCAATAGGGAGAGCTGAAAAACAAGAGACTTCTTAATTGAGTAAATAGTAATAATCATGATGGAAGCCATTTAAAAAGAACAGATGTCCTAGGTGTACTGGGAGCTGACTTTTCGGCCAGCATATAACACACACCTTTACCAGTCTGTGCTGGTGTCCTAGGTGTACTGGGAGCTGACTCTTCAACCAGCTTATAACACTCACCTTTACCAGTCTGTGCTGGTGTCCTAGGTGTACTGGGAGCTGACTCCTCGGCCAGCTTGTTAGAGTCAATGCGGTCAGTCTGGACCACCATGTCGGACTTCTCTGTGTCAGAGGACTGAGGCTCCTCTGGAGCCTGCCGTGTCCTCACTCCCAACTCCTGCCTCAGATCTGGAATTGAATGAATTTAACATAAGAGTTATTTGAAAAATTACTTTCATAATTTAATCATTAATTTTTTGTCACAGTCAATAAAATATGCAGTTGTCATTATAATACTTCCTTATTTTTCATATGAACCTAACTACTTATTTCTGTCAAAACATATTCAATTTTGTAAAGGTAATTTATCAAAACTTTATATATGCTCCTTTTTCATTTTGTCTGGAATCTTTTTATCTTTTTCTTTATGTTCTGTCTTCTCTGATGTAGGTACAAGAGTGTCATGAACATTTAAATGCTGATTTTCAATAGGACATGCTTCACATAAACTGTCCTTTCCTTGTTGAACCTTTTAGGCTAACATTTTTAATCTATTGGGGTCAGACAAAATAATTCACGACAAATAGCTGGTCTTTCCTTAAAATATGAAGATTTTGTCAATATAAATTCCATATAAATCCATAGTAATCCATAAGAACAACCTATTAGTCAAAAAGATATAAAATTCCTTTCTTGCAATAAAATTTGCAGAGTATTTCACTCAATAATATTTATCTGTGTCACAGTAGAGTGAAAGTTTTGGTCTTAAACTCTGGTTTGAGAGTATCTTGGTTGATAACACCTTTGACCCAAGTATATGCTGATAATATCACAGCACCCCTCACCTGCATACCTTCACATAGAACACCTTATCCTCTCCACTGATACCACACACATATCTACCATAAATACCAGCACCTAAAGGCACTTAGTTAACCTTTTTTAAAGTTTTTTTTTAATCAGATAACCATTGTTCTAAAATCTAAACAATTCATGATATTCTTGCCTTAAAAGATTTACAAACAAACTAAAAGTACAAATAACGAGACCTAGTTTGCCTCAAGACTTAATTTTTTTCTACACAGATCACTGCAGGTCTTCTTGTTAAATGAATAGATATGGCTGACCCCATTTCAGGTCATAATGCATAAAACGCCCTGTGTGAGGACCTGACCTAAATGTCAACTAGATGAGGACTAAGACGACTGCCCCCAAAATTGGAACTTTCACCTGTGACTGCAATTTTGAAATTACTGCAGCTAAAATTCCCCATAAAACAAGGATGTTTTTTCAAAATTATTAAGAATTTTAGAAGA